TACAACTCGGTCTGCCATAGGGTTCTAAATAGACTCTGCCATTGGAAGAGGGCAACGGCGGGATAAAAGTTGCAATCGTACTCTTCTCGATATTAATGAGATAGCGATACCACCCGTTCTCCAGGCTCAGTCACAGGATAGCGCAGACGAGTATAATCACAAGGACGTGGAGCGTTACTTCCCATTCGCGACATCACGGTTGGAGTTCGCGTAGAAGATAGCACGTGTATCAGAAAGAGCTGAAAGGGTGGAGTCTCGATGGCTGCACAGTTGATCTCCGCGATCACTCGGGGCGGTGCCAAGAGGCCCGCCCGCAGCGCTTTCACCATCTATTTCCTCCTTGGATCGATCAATAACCGATGTATCTCCACCAGCCGGGATACGGCTCATGCTACCCCAATTGATTGCGACGGTATCAGCTATACATCACCCTGCTTGCAATGCCTATTTTGCCGCGAATAACGCTTCACACCCGATTCCTACGCATTCCAACTTTCCACCGTGATAAATAAGGCCAGCACGGAAGTCTCTTCCCCTGAAAGGTTCCTTCCCAGGCTCGAGACATGTTTTTTGCACGTTTCGATGTATTGGCAGCCACAGTCCTCTATTTCATTGTGCTCTAGCTCTTCGCGCCAGAAACTCCTCCAAAAGTTCTAATTGTCGCGGGGATAACCCATGTTGAGTGGATTGAGCCCTTGTGCGGTCGCTGCGTACGCTAACTCGCTTGCAACCCTATTCCGCCGCGACTGGCGGGAGAGGTAACGCTTCACACCTCAGCCGTCACAGCTCTCAAATATCCTTACCCCAAAATCGAAATGAGAAAGGAATTCCACTTTCAGGATACTGGTCATATGATGGTTTACTTTGAACACCCGGATACACCGTTCATGCGAAGAGCTCATGATGATGTAAACCTTCCAAATGTAGTTAAAAATAAACGATCGACTTTTCTTATAACGCTATTTATTATTATTATTATTATTCAAGGCCGCGATCTCGAAGGCTGATGAACGCTGGACAGCTTGGTCAACGTGTAATGGAAAGAAGGAGAAGACCAGGTACCAGAAATGCTCTGAGTACAGCGATGTACGGAAATGTCGGAAAGAGACCGCTACATGTTCAGGTGAAATGTCTATTATTTAGCTCTCATGTCCACGTTAACTCATGTTGAAAAAATCATAAAATGTCAAATTCAGGTACATTGTCCGTTCAACAGGCTGAAAAAGACAACGAATCTAGTACAAGATAGCAAATTCGAATGTACATATTAAGCAATACGAGCGATACGGATATTCACATGCATTTAAACTTAATAAACATTATTACATAAATAATGAGCTTCAATGCGCAGAAGACTTTTCATAAACAATATTACCGGCGCTTCTCTATCCCGTAAGATTGAAAACAGAACAATAACAGAACAGAATTAAATATGGCAGACGAAGATGAAAGCTAAATTTTCTTAGTGCCTGAATGTAAAATGCTCCATTATCTCCTTGTCCATATCGGTGAGCAAATTGGTCACGTCTATTCGTAAGGCGTTGTGCTTTTGAATTTGGGCTTTCATTTTCTTGTCACATTCTTCCTCGGCCCTAAAAATGGCAAGTCCTAGGAGTGCAGTGGTTTTCGGTCTTTCTTCAAATTAACGCTGAGAAAGCCATAACCTATCACTAAGAGAGAAAAAAAGCCCAGGATCTCCGCATCATTTCATCATTTTCTACATGGGTAATCGAGAATTTCATGTTTTTTTTTTGTTACTTTCACGCGAGATGAGGGTATTCCTTGTGTAAAAACGTGCTCCGATAACTTCAGACGGAATTTGGAACAGACGCCAAATTGGCCATATAAAAGGCACAGATAGAAAAATATATGACACAATACGTGTTCATGCCATCCCGAACGTGCTAATCATGATCGACGCTTTTTCAATAAGGTGGGACATCATACATATGGACACTACTTCAGACATTTAATATCACGACAAAGACTTCTTTCGAAAGTATAGATTAAGAAATACCCTCCCAAGTTTGAGTGAATTATGTTCTGCAATTGCGTGCCATAACAGAGCCCAGCGGTCGAATTTCGCACAAAGGAATTCGTTGACCCGGAGATCTGCCCCCTACGCCGCACTCGTTTTTGAAACAATAGAGATAGCAGAATAGGGGAAGAAGTGCCAAGTGAATAAATGGGAATCGATCTACACCAAACCATAGCTTATCAGGAGAATCGGAGAAAACACTGTCGAGATCGATTGATCCTCATGTGATCCTCTGACGCGAATTCTCCAGTTTTTCTGCGCCGCAAAGTATGAAAGGCTCGGCAGAAGTTCGTACCTACTCTGAGTCACAATCGTTTCTTCTCGGCAACTCCCAACTACATGCCGTCCAGCATGAGAAAAGAGGAATGTTTATAACCGTGTGGACGGGGACGGAACTAAAAAACCTTTCCATACAAGAAAAGAGTTCCCTTATTTGAGATGAGGACTCTTTTGCTGAAGCAGCACTTGTATGTCCCCCTGCGAAGGAAGTGAAGGATTATCCAAGCAAAGCTGGGATTACTATAATTTCACAAATATTGCACCAAGATGTCCCACTTTAAAACAGCATAATACCGATACGATACATATGGCCGTTCTCTAAACTTACGATTTGATGGCATGTGTCAAAAAGTTGAAGTCGTGAAGAATAAGAAATTCTTTCAAATCGTTTGTCAATTTCAACAGTTCATCGCAAGCTCTCACCTGAAACATTAACAAGTGTCAATAGCAGAGAAAAGAGATTTACAGGCCAAAAAACGGCATTTTCACTTATATCCCCTTTGAGCCAATAATATTAGGAACAG